CATACGACCCACCTGTTCTCCTTCACTTACCGCACATACGACCCACCTGTTCTCCTTCACTTACCGCACATACGACCCACCTGTTCTCCTTCACTTACCGCACATACGACCCACCTGTTCTCCTTCACTTACCGCACATACGACCCACCTGTTCTCCTTCACTTACCGCACATACGACCCACCTGTTCTCCTTCACTTACCGCACATACGACCCACCTGTTCTCCTTCACTTACCGCACATACGACCTACCTGTTCTCCTTCACTTACCGCACATACGACCTACCTGTTTCATATTACGCGCTCTCTACCACGCACGCACTCTCTATCTCTACCTCTCTCTCACAAAATGCTTGCTCAAGCAGGCTTTACAGTAATGAGAATAGGGTAAGAAGGTTTTGTCTCTATAACGTATTGTTGTTATATTGGTTTTAATTATTTTATTCGTTCTTTTTAGTGGCAGGGGCGATGGAGGCATCGATATTCACGCAGAATTTGGGAATACCAAATTCTGCATCCTGTGCAGAGCATACGCGTCGGATATCGGTAAGTTTTAATTGTTTTTATTATTACTTATTACTATGATAGAGATTGAAAGACATAAAACTAAACTTATTTTCTTTTTTTATAGGTGCCCATGTGGTGCGGGAGTTCCTCGGTTCAATGATGCTGTACTACAATAATGGGGAGATTGGCGTCGTTGCTGCTAGGGTGGGATTTACTCAGGGGGCTTGGGATGTAGTTGGAAGAGCCCCCCGAGACATATATCTCGAAACTCCTGGCACAATCGTCGCCAATCTGATGCGAGCTGCAGCGGAGAACAACGCAGTATTGGAAAGAAGGGCGAGGATGGCCCGCACCCAAGAAAGGATTGAAGCGGCGCTTAGGAGGATAGCAGCGGCGGAAGAGGCGGAGCAGGCGGTGTTTAGGGAGTTTCAGAGAATGAGGGAAAGACAGGAGAGGAGGGATGAGGTTATGCGTTGGGTTATGTTTGTCGCTATTGGGCTTTTGTTGGCACTTTGGGGAATGATAATATATATTTAATAAATAAAAAATTTTCAAATCAAGATAAAGTTAGTAGCATATGGTACAAGACACCTAAAGACCGAAATAAAATACCCAACTTTTAAAACTCTAAGGCTTTTATATTAGAGGGTTTGGAGAAAAACTAATCCGTAAGAATGATAGAGCAGATGAAGTAGAAT